ACACACGTTGTGCTGTTATCGCTTGCAGTGACAACTTGTCAGAATCAATCCAGAAACTTATTTGTTTTTAGTTTTAGTAAGAGTTTTACAGCTCTTGCAACACAATAAGGTCAATATAAAACTTATTTGTTACTGTGGAATCTTCCAAAACAATTTATTGTATTCAATTCAGATCTGTGCTCAAGACAACATCACAAAACAAAACAAACAAAAGAAATCACGTAAGCCTTTAGCCACATATTTCAGAAATTGTGGCATCATTTAGATCTACCTCTCTTTCCGTCCTCATCACACACACGCACACAAGAAAAATCCTGATCTCTGTAGATACAATACAAAACACACAGTCTGTCAGTCAGGCCGGTGCACTCTACCGCTCTACCACTCTACCACTCCACCACACAACGCACAGTGGCACGAACCACCAATGGCACTCGAGTAGATCTATCATGTTCCAACAAACCGACAAACTAGCCACAGATTTGTTAGTAGATCTTTTTCTTTTTTTTTTTTAGATATGTATAGGTGTTTTAAAGTTTTTTGGACATCTGAGTAGACATAAGGGTCTTGACCATCTAGCTCTCACTGGCAAAATTGAAGACAAGCGAGGCAGGGGAAGGCCCAGAATAACATACTTAGGGAACCTAAACAAATGGGTAACAGGGAAAAATCAGGGAAACATAGCTTTTTTGAGAAGATCCGAGCAAAGGAATGAATGGAGAACCATGATCGCTGAGATCTGTCGCAGATCTGGCACTGGATGACGATGATGATAGGTGTCTTTTACGCCCCCCTCGACACGATTTAGTAAATTGTGACACCTGAGACATTGATCTCATCATCAAATTCAAATAAATTCAAATAAGGAATGTGTTTGCGGATGTAAGGATTGCTTCTCCACTGCTCTTCCATCGTTGTAAATATTTCAATGTACATGTAGGCGTTTTTACACCTCTGTTGACAAATCTTAGGTCATTCAGGCGGCCGCTAGCCTCTGACCCAGTCTGTCAGGGCCAACCCCAGCAGAGATGGATCCAACATCACAGCAGCAAGACCGAGATACTCGCTAAAAATTCTCCCTATTCGGGAATCAAACTCGGGTCTCTGTGTGTGACAACGAAGCACCTAGCCGCTACACCACAGAAGCCTGTATTGGTAGGAAGATTATGAAACTTGAGTCATCGACAAGATCTTCAATTACATTGTATAAGGAATGTGTTTGTGTTAGTGAAAGGTCTGATTCTCCACTGTTCCCCCGTCTTTTTGATACAATGAACAAAAGAGCAAATGACGCAATTCTGGAACGTCTGGAATAACATCAAAGACTAACCATCACCGCCAAATCACCAGTTGATCATGCCAGTATGTCACATCAGAATACAATTTGTTTGTTTACAAATCAAGTGCCCTAAAAAGTACTGAAAAGTAAACTGTTACAATTTTTCCATGGGACGATTTTTCTTGTTTATCTTAAATAATCAAAGTTCTTCCAAATACACAATAAACATTGATAAACTTTATATATAGAATCGAGACCAATATTTGTTTTAAAAATACAAGTTCACAGGAGAAAAAAAATCTGTTTTTTAAGCTCCTTTCATACTTTGAAAAATAAACTGATCCGACATAATAATAATAGAACAAGTAAACGCACAAACGAAGACAAAGTCCAACTTATGGAAGTTACCTAGTTCCAACACATCGCAGTGAAATAACAACATTCTGTACACAGCTGCCAACAAGGGCTTCCCTCTTTGCTCGAGGGATTAACAAGAACGTAGACATAGACTTTACGGTATAATATAGAGATATTATATATATATAATATAGATATACATTTTTCCAATGGATAAATAAGACACTTTTGGCGGACTCATCCACAACAGAACATTGTCAGATTCGGATTCCGTCTTGAAACAGATCAATGGAAGAAATAAAGATATGTAGATCTAATGTCTGCAAGCTGTTCACAACTACCAAAGCCCAAATTAGGAATTTATTATTCTTTTCTAAAATTTGAGTTTCTTAATTAGTGGTTTACGTTGCATGCGTTTGAGGAATTCAAATTCTAAATGTTGAAAAAAACCCTACAAAAAACGCAAGAATTTATACATCATGTCTGTCCGAATGTTAAAATAGAATAAACCTGGGTGGCTGTTTTCTCTCTCTCTGGAAAAATAATTTCTTTCTGGACTAAGTAGGGTTAAACAGCTTGCTGGTGATATCTTCAAAAGGCACTCGGTCATCACACACTGCTATTCATCAACATAATTAATGACAAAGCTCAGGCAATAAGCAAGTGTGATGTCAGCTCAAACGACGAACCCTAACAATGGAATACATCACTCATTGTGTTCACACGTCGCTTGAGGAAACACATTTTCACAAAGACAAAAAATGCACAATAAAAGATCTTTCTCTCCCTGAACTTGCAATAGAATGCTTCAGTACAATAATAACAACTGCTTCAGTCCAATAATAACAACAGTTTGCTCAACATCACAACGCATTTCATACACAATTTTAACAAGGGAATTGGCCTGTTATTACCCCACTGCATATATATTTCTTAATTTCTTAACGCATAGTTTAGTTGTTTTAATCAGAAATAAAGTATGTTTTCAGTCACCATGCCCAAAAAATCAACATTTGCAACATTCAGGATGCATAATATAATGAGACTGAACGCAGACAAAGCAGGAACATTTTTGAGGGATTTGATTAGTAATCTGGATTTAGAAAGGGACTCATATTCTAGATCCAAAATTGTCGGTGATACAATGCCCTGCTACTTGGGGGGAAAAAAACGCCTTCAAGTTTTGAATTCTCGTTAAGAAAGAAAGTATCGTCATGTTTATTTTCGTATTGACCTGTTTTATGGACATGTTTTTGGAGGACTGGGACTTTTCTTTACTCTTCCGATCCAGCGGCCATCTTGGTTCTAGACCTTCGGCAGACTGGGACAGAAGTTATGCGTATTTCGTAGAGGGAGGGGAAAACTACACGGTCTGTGTTGTTCCGGCCCAAGGGAGTAAATGGAAATGACACAGAGCGTCTTGTTCTGGCTGATAGGAGTTAAATAATAATAATAATAGCATTTATATAGCGCATATCCACGCCCAAGAGCATGCTCTATGCGTTTTACAACTATTATTACCCCAGCAGACCC